AGATGAAGCCGGTGGTGCTCCCAAAAGAAGCAGTGCAAACTCTAGAATATCATGAATGTCTTTGCTTTTCTGGCCTCCAGGAAGATATCCCCACCTTGGGACAAAATGCAGATTGAGACATCCTGTTAGGGGAGCTTATGGGACAAAGCCAAAGTCCATTAACCCAAGGGAGACAAGCTGGCTGCTTCTAGGCAGCCTCAGAACCCAAGATAAGAAACAGCTTTTTTAAGCCAGGTACAACTCTCATGGCCAAGGAAGCTTTTTCACCGTTTATTTGCAGAGGCCCTCACTGATGAGGAGGAGATCCATTCTGAACTGGACCACTTAACCCCTGCATGGACCCATGCCTCCAAGCAAGCACAGGAGCCAACACCAGCCTTGAAGGTGTATCAACACCACCTGGGGGCACCTAGTCCACTGCAGCATCCTTGACTGGGGCTCAGAGTCCTTTAGCCACCCAGTAAGTAAAGACAACACTTTCCCTTTTAAGGGTAAAATAAACAATGAGATGCAGTTAACATGAACTTTTATTACAAATATGATTGGGACTAATATCCATTTGAAATTTTAAAAGTTAAAAAAAAAGCACCTCCTACTAGGAAAAAAAGTGTTCTTTTTTTTTTTTCTGATGAGCAAAATTTATTGTATTTCGGTTGTAACAAAAACACTGTATGTACTTCAAGGGGGTGGCAAAAAGAAGAAAGCTTTTTGCTATATCTCTTTTCTGTTTGTAGAATGAAACAGTATCCATTTTTAAGAAACTGAAGATGAGAACACAACAAAAACACAACAATCTTTTTATTTATGTAAATCAGATTAACACTGGACAATAAACCAATTTCTACCCAATACCATAACAGCTTGTCTATAAAGAACAGAAAATTTCAGATAGGATTCTACCTAGGGTCAAGCGGTTTTTTTTTTTTTAAACCACCCATTCACAGAGGTATAGATTCACAGATAAATAATCCCAAACTACTTGCTCATCATATTTACACATTCCCATTAAATTAAGCATAAATAAATATATACAAACTTAACATAGATACCCTCCCAGAGTGCTCTTAAGAAGAGGCAGTTGGAATTTCTTGACTGGGTGGTAAAAACAATGTTAGTGAATTAGAACCCAACTCAAAAAGAGGATCGATTTTGGCATTTAAAGAAGAAATAGTGTTCATTTCCGTTTTGTTTTTTTTTTTTTCTTAAAGAAACCAAACAAATTCCAATACTTCTCTTTTCTGTCACCAGAAATTTAATGTACATCAGCAAAGGAGGGGAGATGCTGGCAGAGCTCTTGAGGCAGTATAGTTGAAGGTCACCATTTCCTTTCCACATAATGTACTACAAGCAAAGGATAGCGTGTATGGTGATAAGTTTTCTGTCAGAACTCTAACTCAGAACGGGTCTTGTACCCATGAAGGAAGTGTGTAGATAAGCTGGGGGTTTGTAGTTTTCCATTCGGCCAGTTTTCGTAGGACATGAAGTAATTGCTCCAGAGGAAGTTGTTTCCTTGGCCAACGACAACAAAAGTCGGATCTCTAAAAACCTATTGAGCTGTTTCTATGGGGGTGGAGAAAGCTAAGGGTGAGGACAGACTTAGGGCAGATGAAAGAAAAATGCAATATTAACTCGGGGAAAGGGTGAAAAGAAAGTAACTTCCTAGTTGGGATAGAGATTAAAAGTCCCTGGAGAGGGAGCCCTCAGGTAGAAACAAACGCTGTGAGACCCAGAACACAGGTAGGAGCAGGATTACTTCGCAAAGAAGGGGCTAGAAGAACCTTTGGGGAAATCCAGCCGCCACGGGCTTCCTCTTTAGCCATTAGTTTTTTTAGTTTGGAACCCCAGCCTTTAGTAGGAGGCACGCCAGCCTGGATAAAACGTCTACAAAGAGCAGGGAAGAGGTTAGGACTGTAACTCACCTGTTTGGTTTGAAAACAAAATTCAAAGGGTCTGGCCTTAAACGTTTTTCTTCATTTAAAAGGCAAACTCTTGTGTTAATCCTACTGTTTATTGACATATAAGCCCAAGGAAACCAAAGCTTTTAATAACTCAATTATCAGATAAATGTAGCCAGCCTGACTAAGGAAAGCATGGAGGCGGAGGGTCGGACGTGAAGAAGGGAGAAAGGGACAGAAACGGAGGTCTCCCCCGGCGGTGGGGGACCTGCGCTCAGGACAAGTCTATCTCGCTGCGCCTTTGGCATTGCTCACACAGAGAGCAGGGCATCTAAGGAGCTTACCTACCCACCCAAGTATGACAGTTATTTCATGTCCACACTCAGGAGAGTGAGGGTGGGGACAATTTCCTTCCCGGCAGAAAAGAACACATGGAAGTTTCAGATTCCTTGAACTGTTCCGTGTTATAATGTCTCTGAGTGTAGGGCCCGGAAGTGACCGCTCGTGGCAAAAGGGCTTTCCAGAGCTCTGGGACCCCTCCCCCAGCAGCCAATGGGGCGCCGCCCCTTTACCTACTCGGGACCGGCCCTTCCCGGTTTCTTTAGCCCTTAGGGTGAGGCCGAGGGCAGGAAGGGCCCGTGCGGCTCGCGACCCCAGCAGCTGCTGACTCTATGTCCTCAACACCACTGGGCTCCAGTGGCCCACGTGTTCCCAGGACCTGCACAGTAAGAGCAAGGCGCATCCATCGCGTCTCTCGATGTCACACGCGTGGGGCGCGTTGCCCTGCAAGGAAAGGAGATGATGTTTTTCAATGTGTTTTCTACTGGCCTTGTGCAATTAGAATTGAACTAATAATGCAAGCGTCCAGGCCCTCTGACAAAACGGGCGCCTTTCAAACCGGGGAGAGATGCAAGTCTATAGCTCACACAATGTTTTTCTTTTCTTTCTTTTTTTTTCCCCCCCTGCTCTTTGTACGCCTTTCAGCTTGGCTAGGGCCGTGTCCTGCAAACCCCACAGGACTCAGAAGCAGCTAGAGATTGGAGGCGACAGGTTGCCTGACCTCAGTTGTTGCTTATAACCTTCAGTGAGCTAAAACCCACTGACTTTCCTTTCCCTCAAAACTCTCTGAGCAAAGCCCTCAGAGGACCCCTAAAACTTAAACCCCCTTTCCTTGCTTTATGGTGGGTTGGGAAAGGATGGGAAACCTGAGAGTTCAGACTATTGGGGAAAGAGACTATCTGTAAATCACAAAAAAAAAAAAAAAAAAAAAAAAAAAAAAAAATCTGATTTTTTTTTTTTTCTCAATGGATTTTGCAAAGATCCCCTCTAGGTTGTTGAAAAGAAACACGAGTACCCACACTAGCTGAGTGCGCCTGTATCACCAACCAAATACTCTACTCCGAGGATCTCATCTGTTCTTGTTAAAGGTGTGGCGTTCATGTCATAGCAATGTTAAGACACAGTATGGGTTAAAAGTTGGCAGAGCACAATGGGCTATATTAAATGCATGGAACTTCATCCATTGGGAATATTCCCAATATATACAGACAGGAATTCAAAGCTGAAATGCAGGCCTTTTTTCACTTTGCCATGTGGTGTGTATGTGTTTGTGTGTGTGTGTGTGTGTGTGTGTGTGTGTGTGTGCATGTCTGAGAGGGAAACTGCTTCATTCATAAAGTGGAGGCACGGTAGTTTGTAGACTGTCTTCCCCAATCACATCAGCAAAGCTGCTTCTTTCCCCATTACAACAACAGTCCCCAAAGAGCTCAAGGAGATGGAATCCATTTTTCAGTGAAGGCAATACTGTTAGAATATATAGGTTCCCAAGATGCCTCACTGGAGTCCCTTAAAATGCGTTTTGCAGTGCCCTTCTCTTTCCCTGCAGGAATTCCCCAGTTGAGGTGTGTTAGCCGCAAGAGTCAAAGCTACTCCCCCAACACCGGCCACTTCCTACACGACTCTCTTTGAGCTTCTTTAAAGAAGTGAACCTGCCGAATCTGACTCACAGGCTTTGACTTTAAACGGATCGGATTTTTTTTTTTTCTCAGTACCTTATAGATTGTGTAGGAAGCCCAAGTCTTCTTTGAAGAAGCTCATAAACCATGCGGGTAAAGCTTTGGGAAACAGAAGAGAATGAAATGGTACATACCCCTCCGAAGAAATTACATACTAATCAAAGTATTCATGTTTTGTTTTTGTTTTTCTTTTCTTTTTTTTTTTTGAAACTATACTTCTAGATGACACAAGTGTAACAAATGCAATATTCTCTGTAAACAGGTGCTGGCAAGTCTGGGAACTAGTAACATTTTCTGAAAGGAACCATGATGAATCAACTTATCAGTTTCCTCTGCCGCGGGAGCCTGGGCTCTCAAGCTTGGATCAAAAAGCTAGAGCCTCCGCCTGCCCCCACCCTTGGCCTCCCTAATTAAACACACCCGCGCGGGGCGAGGGTGGGGTGGGGTGGAGTGGGGTGGGGTGGGGTGGGGTGGGGTGGGGTGGGGTGGGGTGGCGTGGGCACAGGGGAGTTAGGAACGTCAAGGCAAGAACACCAAAGAGGCTAACACAACGCCAGTGAGAAAGGGAAGCAGCGGTGAGAAGAGTAAGGAGAAATGAAGGGCCGGACTGCGAGAGTTTCTTAAAAAAAAAAAAAAAATTAAATAAAAAATTTTAAAGTTCGTGCGTGTCAGTCAACCAGCTCTCAATGCATTGACACCAACGTTTCTCCAATTTTCTTCCAATAAGTTAGCGTGTTCTCATGTTTAGTCTCATGTTTGTTTTCCAAAAGGGGGGGTTCATAGTTTTCTTTTATTATCTGTATTACTAAAACTTGAAAGAACCGAAGTGGAAAATCCGGACGGCTGTCTCCACGTGTATCTTGAAATAGACACCGAGAGCCGGTTTGTTGCTCCGTTGTACGCCTCAGTTTATTTATTTATTTTTTTAGTTATTTGACTTTCTTTTTTTTTTTAAATTTTGATTGTATGTGTATTCTACCTAATATAATTCTTCCAAAGCCAATCCAATATGTTAAAGCTAAAATTATTGTTTTTTCTGTTTTCCTTTTGTATTTAAAACATTTTCCTTCGCTTTAATTTTTTTTTTTTTTCATTTCCTGTGTTTCTCCTCCTTGTCTCCAGTTTTACTACCTGGGCCTTCCCCAGACGTGTGCCTGTTAGTGGTGTTGTTCAAGAACATCTTGTCCATGCCTTTGAGCGCCTCGGTGAGATAGTTCTGCAGGGCGGTGAGCGCAGCGCAAATGGCCGGGGCACCGAAGCCATGGGTGATGAGACTGAAGTGCGTGAGGCAGCTTTGAATGCCGGGCTCCAGGATGGGGCTGGGCCGGCTGTTCCCGATCGGTGTCCGGTCCTGCGCCAACAGATCCGTGAATTCTTTACAAAGTTGCCTGCGGAGGGGTGAGGGAGGAAGACAAAGGCACCCTCAGAGGCCTGCCTCGAAAACCAGATACTCACACAAGCCCAGAGGCGCTGGGTCTGAGGACAGCTAACTCGGGCCATTCTGCTCCGTTTCTTTCCCCAGGGGGATCCTCTCCTAGCAGCTGGGACTGGAAGGAACCCAGCGAGCAGTCGTAGGCACACCTCCCTCTCTCACGCCTTTCATTTTTCCCTCTCCATTCCAGGACCACCTGTATTCTGCTTTAGGAAATTTGCTAGGCATTTTAGATTTTGATTTTGAATAGTCGATAATTTTTAGCTGTTACCTGGCGCTTTTCTTTAATCATTTTCCTTTCTTCCCCCCTGCCTTTCCAACCTTTCTCTCTCTCTCTCTCTCTCTCTCTCTCTCACACACACACACACACACACACACACACACACACACACACACACACCCTGAACGATTTATGCCCCTCGGCCACAAAGCCTGTCCCTGGCATAAAAGCAGATTGCTGGAGCCTTGCATGGCCCAGAGCGAAAACCTGTTTATTCTAGGAGAGAATGCTGATTCCATTCAAAGCAAAACCCATCTACCTGAAGCATTTTGGAAGAAAAATCTCTCCTCTCTTCTTAAAAAAAAAAAAGTCACCCTCCTTTCAGATTTTTGCATATGTGAGCTACTAAAAATCTTTGTGTAACAGGATTGTTGTCAGTACAAAAGTGTTTCTGAATAGTTAAAATGAAACCTAAAGGTAGATGGTTGAAACACTAAGGAGGATAGATTTTTTATTTGTTGAAGGTTTTTATTTCCTCAAGGCATCTACAATTTAGAAAACTCTCCTAGCCTTAGGAACCCCCTGTGCCTAACTACAGATTGGGCTTATTTGAGAAATTTTTAATATAGGAAATGGATGGATGGGGTTTAGCCCCGAAGGTCAAATGCTTTGGCTCCACTGGCTCTGCTGGCAGGCTGAGGCATGGCATCCCTGACGCCACAGGCTTTCTCAGATGGGCAGGCTATTCGTGACCACCTGCTTTCCCCAGCCTCTGGTTTCGTGGGATGTCAAGAAAGGAAAACCTATATAGCTATAAAGCATCCTGGAGCTGGGCAGCCAAGGAATGGCTGAAAGGGCACTTAGCGACTAACACCTGGCCTGACTCTCAGGTAAACAGGGCAGATTTCTGGGTTTGAAAGACCCTTGGGGCACCATTCCCCAGGATGCTGCTATGTTGCCCAGGGCTAGTAATAAACCAAATGGGGGAATCTCTTTCTCCACCCATGGACAGCAATCAAGAAAGAGTGACATTTCCAAAGCCTGTGGATAAAGATAGAGCCTTTTCCTACCCCCTCAAGTCTCTACTCACAATATATCCATATGTCCCCACAACAAGTGACTGCGCTTACCCAATAGGGCCTGCCTCAGTGAGCTTCACACATACCCTCCCAAGCTCTGACCCACCTCCCTTCCATCATTCCAAAGTAAAAGGTTTGGGGATGGATTCAGACATGAATGTAGTGGGAAAACTCCCAAGATGATTTTGAGACCCTAGGCTAAAAAGTAGTGGCCTTAGATGTCGTGAGGTTGCAGGGTGAGTGTGTGTGTGTGTGTGTGTGTGTGTGTGTGTCAAATCATCCCTTTAATAAAGAAGGAGGCTTTTGTAGATCTTGTAATCTGCCTTAGACATGTAGAGATTTTTAATTATCATCATCCTTATTATTTTATTTCCCCTAAAGTCCCCTGCTTCATTTGTGAAGTGCAATTGGGCCCTATTGGCAGATAGCAGTGCAATGCTAAGACGGCAGCACACCAACAAAAATCTATTATACTGCTATATAGTACATTGGAGGAAAGCCTTCTAAAAAGAGGGTAGTTGCCAGGTTACGATCATTGGGAAAGATGGTTAAAGGCTTTTCTTAACTTTGTGCTCATTTCCAAAGTGCCAAAATGGAAATTTTTGTAGTGCAGAGAACAAATGCTTAAGAGTCAAGCACTTAAAATCTGCACAGCCCAAACCAGGCTCTGTAAGCAATTAAAGTTCTGGGACATTAATATTTTTTGACCCTGCGGAAAGGGGCAATCAAATTCCAATCACGTCTCAAAAACATCTGGACAAATTTGAGCAAATGATTTTTCAGCCTTCCATATATTTCTTTAAATTACGCTGTCAACGGAACAAACCGCGTCCTGGAACGCTAAATAAATGAGCGCTGCTGTTTAGGCCCGCCTGCAAGAGAAAAACGTGCTGGTGCAGGCAGCACCGCCCACTGCAGGCCTGAGCTGGTCATAAAACACCAACAATATGACACCGAAGCCAAAGACAGGAGTAAATCAAATAAATAGAAAACCCACTGTAAATGTTCAAATGAGCTCTAGACCTAAATTTAGCCAGAGATTTACTGTTTTCCCCTCTGGAGTTGTAGTAAATTTTACAAGTCCGAGGAAGATGACAAACAGCATCGCTGGAAATGGAGTAATTAGAGCTGTGGGTAGAGATGGGTGACACATAGACATCCTGGGCAAACACATATGGCTGTCCTCCTCATGGCAAAGGAGACCAATGCCAAGCCCATACAAAAATGTTCACCTAGGGATCTGGGAAGACACACCGGAAAAATCTGCCTGATGCCCCAGAACTGTGGAAGACAGCCCATTAAAATGCCTGCATTCTCTTTGTAAACAGAAAAAGGGACTGGGACATGCCCAAAGCCCCTCAAGTCTACACCATACCCCACCCTTCAGAAGCACATTGGCTTCTTGGCTTGCTGTTTCATGGCAAGGCACTTTCTGCATACTAGGTAGGCTGCACCGATCCCCATCACAGGTTTCCTAAGTGGACTTGGATCAGGAAAGAAGTCCTAGACCAGGACCCAGGGACTTGGAAACTCACTTGGTGGCCAGAAGCATATTCTTTCTGGAGTGCAGGTCACTGGGGTCCGTGTGCTGCCTGTTCAAATACTCGGACACGGCTTTCGCAGGAAACTCTGTTTCACAAATATACCCAAAATCCCGAGCTAAGTGAACAGCTTCCCCTGTGAGAAGAGCAGCAGAGAGTCAACACCTGGACGATGAACACCTGAAACCAGGTATGCAACAAACTCAGACCTGAGACCAGACACTCAAAGGAAAGATGAACTTCATAATTAACAAGCAGGACAAATCTTATTCTCCCAGCTTCTGCTGGGGCTAGGCACCACACAGACACTGCCTGCTCCCAAGAGACCCTGGGCCTCCTGCAAATCACTCTCCTTGGCTTAGTGGGAAAGCGACCATAGACTCAAGAGCCACCTTACAGTTGAATCTAGACGTTTGGCAGGATATGCTAGGGAGACACCTCTCTTCTATTTAAAGCACCAGTCACACCTGCTTGAAATAAAAATTTAAAAATCACCACCATCTTCCTACAATTCTATTAGGCAAATAGTCTCATTTATAACTAATATGCATAATATGCGTATGTAGATTTCTACATATGTAAATTTTGCTGCGTGGTAATAATTAATGCAACATGTGTATGGAAAGAGCTTTCTATTCAGCAGCTGAATAATTATTTACCCTGCACTTTTCTTGCTGTTTTCAGGTTTCTCCCTTTCAGAGATTTCTGTGGTCATCCTCCTTCTTAGAGAGTTTCTACTGCACAAATATGTAACTGCAGACACCAAGGCACACTAGGCATTCCAGAGATTAGAAGGAAGACCCTTCTACATAATGTATTATTGACTTTTTAAAAGTACAACTTTGAGGGTTTAAGGAAAGATCACAAACCCCAAAAAATAGGTATGATGAATTATACCATAATTTAATGTGACTCACTTATACTGTTCTCATATAACAAAAGACTTCAAACATAGTGCTTACAAAGATTTATTTTACCAAAAACACCCACCAAATATTGTCACTTTTTTGTATGACTTCCAGTTTTTTCCCTTCTTTATCAAAATAATTGTCTCATGCTAAGATTACATGGACTGTTATCAAAATGAAGTTTGCACTATTAATGATTCCCTAAAAGGCAAAAATGAAATACCCATAGGCTAAGAAGAGTCAACTGTTACCAAGTGGGATTCAGAAATGTAGTGACTTAAAGACCTTTGGTGGGAGAGTTTGAGCCAAAAATCTTTGCCTTAAAGATGATAAAATGCAAGACTCTTTGATCTATTTATAATTATCATTTAGGTAATATAAGATGCTGTCCTGCAAGAACCAACTTCCTATATGAGTCAGAACACCATATCTAGCAACAAACAGAAGAGAAGCAAACACAGGACACACAAGGAGGATTCCAGAGAAAATTCTCTATCATCTTCCACATGTACCAACCAGTTGGGAATGCTTCCTGGTCTGTCTCCCTCCCTACACATTCAGCTGCAGACACACTTCTCCTAGACTATATAGATCATCTTAATTGTTACAGGCATAGATCTCATCTCAAAACCCAAACTGACAGGCACATTAGAAGTTTCTTAGTAGAATTATGGCCATTTAATTCACAGCTAATGAATCTGCCTTGAAAAATCAGCTTGCCTCTCCACACTTTTTCATAGCCTCCTCCATAGTTTTCTTTTAAGCATAGCTGGACTTACTAAGGTACCAAGTCCCAGGATGTGGGAGACAGAACTCTGGTACTGTCATGAGTTTTAAAAATTTTCATTAAGATTCATTGACACTGTATGTTTTCTTACATTTGTTGAAGGAAAACCAGGAAGGTCTTCTCCTTCTACCTTGTGAAACTCCCGAAGAGATGGTCACATGATCAGGCTGGGAAGCAAGTGCCTTTGTCCTCCCCTAACTTCATCTGGATTACTAGTAAAAAGCAGATGGTATTGGTGAGGACAAAGAGTTTTGATTGCAGCTTGCAGAGATGGTATTGTAGGAGTTCAAGCAGAGGATGCTTCAGCCACTGTGGCTGTGGCAAGGGAAGTGAACCCTGCTTTCACTTGGAGGTTATCCTATTCAGAGGATAAGGACCTTTCTATACCTTGTGTTTGCTTCCCGAAAACTGCTGGCCCTCTCTAAGTAAAAAGACCTTTGAACTTCTCTCCTGCAGTCCCTTGACATCCAGCTCATAAGGGCACAACGATCACAATGATTTCCAGTTAATCATGAAACGTAAAATGTCAGCCTCCAGCCGACGGTTAGGCTCAGCCACTTCGTGGAATAGCCACCATGAGTCTTGCTTGCTTACCTTCCACCAGGGAGGTGAGTAATGTGACATTTGCTGCTTTGCGCCTGCCCGCGGGTAAATTCAAACCGATTTTTTCTAGCCTTTCTCTCAAGGATCTCCCCCCATTTTTCGATTTGGCTCTGCAATTGCAAGAATTAACATTCTGATTAACCTCAAAGTGTTCCTGAAACAAAGTTTAGACTTAGCAATCTAGAGCCCAGTGGAGCTTGAAGAGGCTTTAACTTGAGGTTAGCACTTCCCTGCACCCCTTCCTTACAGTTATTTGCTGATAGTTTGCTGAGGTTTGCTTAATTTCTGCAATACAGAGCACTAAGGAGTAACTCTTTATTATTATTATTAATTTGCTGAGGTTTGCTTAATTTCTGCAATACAGAGCATTAAGGAATAACTCATTATGATGATGATGATGATGATGATGATGATGATGATGATGATGATGATG